TCAACTTTTATTTACCAGTGAGAGTAATTCATATTTACAGTGTAAAAAGATTGTTCCACAGAAGACATACATGTCTATCCTGCAGTCTCACCTTCCTGAAACTGTTTGCCAAAGGTAAAGCAGGCTGTCTCAACAAACATTCCTTTCTGGGTGGGACATGGTCATCTGTAATTCCATGAGAATCCTGTTTTACCACTGAGATATTCTAGAAGGTGTTATATCTAAAGTCATTAGACAAAGAGCACATGGACTGAGGAGCCCAGGGGAGGCATAGTGAATTCCTGGACCCAAGGGTTCTAACAACAGATAGCTTTCCACCATTACACTGTATGCACGGGGTGAGTCATTTTCCCTCAGTTTTAGTGAGGTGTGGGGAGGGATAATCACAACGATAGCTTAAACCAGACAAAACCAAGCACGAAGGATGAGAGTGAGTTGTCCTCAGTGGTGTGACACCTGTTATACATGGACCATACTCCAAGACAGCTCTATGCCCAGTAGTGTTTAGCCAACAAATACTGAACTTGATGGAGGTTGGGGGCTGAAGTTATGGGAAGTTGGGTGGGTAGTTGTAAGAAAGACCAAATAGAGTCTTTCCCATCAAATAATATAAAAATGTGTTTAGGACAAGCAGTTCAAATCCTCTTTTATCTCCTCTCACCTTGTAAGACTTTTATGCAGCTGCTCCTCCCACTGTTCTGGTAAGCCCACTGGAGAAGACTACTCAGACAGTCTATAGCAAACTGAAAGTCTTTGTGCTAAGCAGCTGGAATACACTCCGGTATTCTGCACCGAAGTGTAGCACCAAGCATCTAGAAAAGGGGTCTTTTAATGGCAAACTTCACATCCTGTTATCTCACTCTGCAGCTGCAGAGGGTGTTTTTACAAGCAGGCAGTTTAACAGAAACTAAGGTAAATCAGCTGGGACATCTTGACTTTGGGTTCCTACAATAGAGTTGGGTAACTTTCCATGGGGCTTCCCATCAAAGAGATCAAATTATAGTTAAGCCTGAAATGGCCTCAGCAATAATATGCGATGGAGGAACCTTGGCACTGATTGCCCTGTCACATTCCCCACTGGTTTTATGGGCATGAGTCAAATCATTGACTCATCCTGTTCCGGGGGTGGTGGGGCATAGTTGGTCCTAAGGACAAGTAGCTTAACTGAATTTATTCTCTATTTGATGTAGTTATCCATGCAGTTGAATATGCAGGGTCCCATTGTAAGTTTGATCAGGATAATCATCAGCTATCTAACTAATGCTAACAGTAAGGTGGTCAGCCATGGGGACCAGGTAAGCAGAGACTGATGTCAACTATCTTATCTGTGTCTCCTTTCTTCCCTTTCCTTGAGGTTTTCTCTGACTATGGCAAGGTTTTCCCCCAATTACCCCTGGTTGGTGGCCACAAAAGCATTGAGTTTCTCCTAAGGCCATGCAAAGTCCTCCTTGGTTTGTAAAATGTAGTTCACCTCCAGTTCTGCAGAATTATCTCTGTGAGGGAGTTAACTTGGCTCTGCAGCCTGGAAATAGACTTCTTCAAATGGCCTAGGTCTACGTTTATCTTAGGAACTGAGTTCTCTAACATCTTGACTCCCACCAGTCAAGGCTGAGGTGCCTATGGAAATTGAAGGAGCTGTTTCTTCCCCTAATAGGATTGGGGCCAGAATTGGGGCCTGTTTGACCCTCATTAACATTGAGTCAAGGCCAACATGAGCTCTCCCTTCTTCTCCATTATCGACATATATTTGGGGGATATGGTAGAGCAGTATACATAGAGTGGGGGTGTGACTCTCCAGTGAGTCAGAGGAGGCACATCTTAGTCAAACCATTAGTACAATCAAGCCAGCCAGGTAGATTCCAGTGCATGAAAAAAAAAAATATGTAGTAATCTTGGCTGGTGTTGATTCTTTGAATATTTGAGCAAACCTTTTAAGATGAGGAGGCAAGATTGTAATTTGTAATTTGAGGACCTTGTCCTTGGCAGGACAATTCACCACCAATCATCAGGGCCTGCATAAAAATGTAGTACCTGGAGGCCTCTTTCTAGCCAGTCTCCTCCACAACCTCCTCCTGTCCTTCCCATAGGCAATCACCCATGGAAGGGATATTTGAGCATATAGGTCCACCTGAACGATTTTCCCAAGCCCAGCTTTTCTGAATTCCCATGTCCAGGTTTGGGGTAGATGAGGATTGAGTGTCTGGGTTAGTAAACTCTGGTCATCTGGTCAATCTTATCTTTAAGGTGTCCAAGTTTGATAGTCCACCTGTCATTGTCTTTAGTAGCTTTTTTTTTTTTTTTTTTAATTGAGGGTGATGAGTCCAGGGGATGACAACAAACATTTTCGAAGCAGTTAGGGTGGTGAGAATAGCTGGGTAGGGACCATTCCAGAGAGGTTCCAGGGTCCAGAAAGGGATCCTCCTGGCTGGACCTGGTGAAAGGGTTAGGTGGTGGAAGATGGCAGGATTCCCTTCACAACCCTGTCAATGGCCTGGTATGCTTTGTGCAAATCCAGCAATAACTTGAAAAGGGAATGATTAGTCTGCTGGGGAATATCTAGGGGTTTTAGGAGGATGGGAGGTGTCTTCCAAACATAGCTTCAAAGGGTGTAAGCCTCTCCCAGAAAGGAGCATATTGGGTCCAATTGTTGCCAGTTTCTGTAATCAATTGAACAGAGTTTCCTTAAGAATGCTATATATTTTCTCTATCTGACCTAAGCTCTATATCCTATAAGCTCAACGTAATTTCTAATTAATATTTAATACCTTTGTCAGATTTTTGAGACACTCTGGCCATGAAGGCTGGACCATCCATGGGTAGGGTCCCCAAAGCTAGGGACAGTCTAAACCTAAGAATTATTTCCTGAAGAAGTTTCTTAGTAACTATCCGAAGAGTCTCTGTTCAAGTAGGCTTCTGTCTACCCATAGATTGTGTGTACAAACACTAGCAAGTATTTACAGACCAAAACAGCAGGCCCTATAAAATACCTGGTAAATTCTGTTTATATAACGGCCCCTGATGCATTCCAGGAATTTGATGGCCTGGAACAATCTTTACCCCTTAGAACAATGGCCTTTCCCCACTCCTGCCTTCATTTCCTGTGCAATTCTTTTCAGACTAGCCAATCAGATCTGTGAGGTTGGATCCCAACCAGTGGGGAAAAGACTCAATCTCTATTTGAGTTAGAATAAAAATCAAGTGTACTTCTTGTCTGTGTGTTTGCTCTTTGGGACACACCCTTCTGATCAAGGGTAAAGTCTGCTTTTCTAGATACTTCCATTGGAGTGGTGGTCTCCTTCTTTCATTCACACCTTGAATTTATTTCTAACATTAGGAATGTAGGAGATGTGAGAGGAGTTGATGAATGTGATTAAAGTGCATTGCATGAACATTCTTAAATAAAAGCTTAAATCTTAAAACAAAAAGGAGAGCAAAATAGAAAAGATTCTTAAGGGTTGTCTAGCTCGAGTATTCTAGACAGAATATATCCAAGTCCAAGCTCCCAGAATTTCCTGTGTTCTTTGTCTAGATTTAGGTGTTTTCCTGAATTATAAAGGAGAGGGTTACAGAATAGATTATACAGGTCTGGCTCCCAATAAAGTCACATTAAAGCTTAGAAGGCTCTAGACCATAGGAGGATTCTGTTCCCAAGATAGAAGAGGTAATGGAGTTCTAAAGATGGAGTGTCCTGCTTTTTACATCTTTTGCATTTGACTAAACTTCAGAGGGACCAGGTTTTCTGACTGGAATTTCAGACTGAGTTAGGTATGCCTTTAAAAGATCTAGTTAAATCCCTGACACCCCCTCCCCCAAAACAAACAAACAAACAGAACAAAAAACCCCAAACAAACATTCATTCTATTCTATCAGTGAGAGATGTCCCCAACCTGGGCTCTAGGATAATATACATATGAAAGTACAAGCCAATATACAAACACAAGGCTTCAAAAGCTTCAAGGGTCCTCTTTCTAATTGTCAAAAAAGAACTCCACAGTCTGGATATTTCTACCTTAGCAACTTTCATAGGCAACTGGCTAACTGCCAAAAATGGTCCTTGCCAGGCTTGTAATCCACATCAGTTTCCATATGCTCTACAAACCCAAAGACAAACAGGATCCTAGGAGAGGGGAAGTGCTAAGATCCAGCCGAGAGCCCAGAGCACACATTTGAAGCTGGGTACTGCAGTCCAAAGGACTAGGGGCCAGTTTCTTTCCTAGTTTGGTGAGTCTATAAATACCACTGTGGCTCATCAGCTTTGCATTTCTCTCACAAACACCTCTTTGTACTAGCCCTTAACTTGTACAGTCTGCAGAACACCTGCGACAACAGAGTAGCTGTGACTACCTCACTGGCATGTTTCTCCTGTGAGCAAATACTCTTTTCAGCTTGGTCTCCTAGTCTGTCCCCTGGAGAGACAGGGAATCCCTAGCTCAGACTGCCAAATCAGGGATTTGCTACTGTCCTCTGACTCTGGTACCCTGTGCCAGCTCACAGCAACCCTCTTGGGCTTCTCTCCAGGCAGTGAGGTGGGTGCAGACACTGCAGGTTTTCAAATCCATGAGACCCAGGTTCAAATTTTCCCTCGGTTTATCTGCCTGTAACTTTGGGCAAGGTTTGGCAGCCCTCAGTGTGCTTGCTTACAAAATACCCCACGTTAGAAAGATGTTCAGGAGAGATACTCCCTTAACCGAGAGACAGGAGAGAAGTCCTGGTCCCTGCTTCAAATGACTTGACAGATTTGGATGGCCCATCCTGGATGGCATCACCCTACATGTGGAGTGTGTATGTGGGGGGATGGGAGGGGAGGGTGGTCAGGGTTCATGTGAGGGAGGGAGGGAGGGAGGGAGGGAGGGAGGGAGAGGGAACACAGTGGTGGGACTCTGCTGCCTTCTGCCTTTTCAACTGAGAACTGTTCGGTGCACCTTGGGAACCGAAAGTTAGAGATGGGAAATGGAAACCGAAACTTAAAGAGAACAGAGAAACAGGAAACTGAAACTGTTTTTCCCCCCTCCCCTCTGTCTCCCAGATTGAGCAAGACAGCAAGCTGCTTACTATGCCCAGACCTCAGCCTCCACCTCAGAAAATGTTGTTCTCAGATGCCAGTACATGGGAGAAAATGTTTCAAGAACTGATCCAGGAGGAGAAACCCAAGGCCAAGTGGACCTTGCAGTTGGATAAGAACATTCTACCCGATGACTTGGCCCTGGGATGGAGGCAGTACCAGCAAACAGGACTTGGCAGGTGAGTGGGGGTTGGGCAGCTGGTCGTCCTCAAGGTCACACTGAGTACAGAATAGCCTCTGTCAGCTTGCTATTATAAAAGAAAGAACAAATATGGCTAGCTAGGATCCCAGGCTTTTGCAATCATGGAACTGTTAGGAGGAAGTAGACTTCCTTCTTTGTGTTCTTAATTTCTTCAGTAAAAGAATTTTAAAATGGACAGGACTGGAGGGAAGCCTGAGGACAATTTTATTAGAGTTCCAAAGTCAAGCCATCAGGGAGGCAAGCTGCAAATCTCAGTAGCTGCCTGGGGAAGTAGAATGGAGAAGGGGCAGAAGGCTCGCTTTACCCTATGAGTTCAGTTGCTATGGAGCTATGTGGTGGGGGCACACAGAGAAGATGTAAGCAAGGCCAGTGTCACAGTGTTATACTGTGAAGCCAAAGGGCCCAACTGCGGCTAAGAGACAACACCCATATGGACAGTTTTATTGGTGAAGCAAGAAGAGAGAGGAGGGAGAAATAGAAATAGGAAGAGGAAGAGAGAAGGAGGGAGAGAGAGGCAGAGAGGCAGAGAGAGAGACGGTTCAGGGGCTAGGAGAGGGGAAGAGAGAGAAAATGAAGAAGAGGTAGAAGAGAGAAAAAGGTGGGCAAAGGAAGGGATGCAGCGCATGTGCACAGAGACCTCACAGCAGGCCAGATCACTGCCTGCCTACTGCGCATGCGCATGCTCACAGGGGCGCTGTACTCTGCCAGGTCTCTAAGAGGCAAGCCAGGTGTGCCTGAATGCTAGTACAAGGAAAGCATGCTTAGAGCAGAGGCAGGAAGGAGAAAGGGTAAAGTTAACGCTTTCCTTATGAAGCCAGGCAAGGAGAGTTGCCGAGCTGGGTTTTGTAAGCTACGAAGTAAGGAGCAGAAATTCTGGGAAGAAAATGTACAATATCATTAAAAGGATGACTCATTTATCCGCTAGCATGGCCTCAGATGAGCGGGTCTTCTTAGGGGTGATTGGTCAATTGGCCAGGTGCTTGGATGGTCCAACTGGAAGTTAAGTATCCACCCAGATACTATTCTCTTGATAGTCTATTCTCTTGACACAAGGAGAGAGTTCGCCCTTGGGGGGGGGCTGTATTGCTATTCTAACAAGCAGATGTAGTTGTGGACGAGACGAGAGAGTTGACCTTCTCAGGAGACACAGATTTCTTACTCGGGGCCCAGAGTTTCTTGAGCAGGGCCTTCTCCACTCCCAGAATGCTATTGCCTATAGGGAGCTGGAATTGAAGAAGGGGGTGAGGGGATGGAATTTTAAGGTCCTGTGCTAATCCTGACCAGCCCCTACAGGATGCAGTAAGTTCCCTTGCCTCACCCATGCTCAGTGCTAGTTCCTAGGAATCAAGTAAGATCAAGCAGCCATGTTGAATATGGGTTTAGAGGAATCCTATCGATAAAAAGAGAAAAACCCAAAACCCAGGTCAGAGAGTGTCTGTGGAATGTCCCTTCTTTATTGGTTGTCGTCTCTTCAGTCCCAAGCCAGCTCCATGTTGTAGAAAACAGCTCTCCTGTATTGTCAGGAAAGTAAGATGGCTGGTCTGAGAACCCAACCTCTCTAGAATCCTAGGGCCTTTTCTAGAGCTCCTACCACCCACAGTTCTTTCCTATCTCCTCATCTGTCCCTCTGCCTGCCCACCCTTGCCCTACCTCAAAAATACTGTGTCCCACCCCACATGAACCCTCACACATACATTCCTACTTGTTCTGGTCGCTTTCTAAGATTAGTCATATTATTCCCTGGAGGGATGCTCTGTAGTAGATGGATAATAAGGTTGGTTTCAATGGCCTAGGCTCTATATCACAGGCAAGTTGTGTAATTTTATTCACTTTTCTTAGTGACAAGGGGCTTAATAACACCTTGAGGAATGATCTACAGATAAAGGGTGATAACACCGAAAGGTATCAGTACTGCCTGTCTCAAAATAAGCATTTTATAGAAGTTTCCTGTTGTCATAACAAAGAAGGAAACTCCATGCACATAGTAACACTTGTCTATTTTTTTTCCCCCAAGACAAAGTTTCTTTGTGTAACAGCTCTGACAGTTCTGGAAGTCACTCTGTAGGCCAGATTGGCCTTGAACTCACAAAGATCTGCCTGCCTTTGCCCTCCTTTGCCTGCCTAAGGCTGGGATTAAAGGTATTCTCTGCCACTGCCACCCTGCAAATTCTCTTCTTTTTAAGACTTCCAGAGAGGCTTTTACTATCAAAGATGCAGGCTTAGTATCAGGAAAGCATCTAAAATGCAATGTCTTTTGTTCTTCCTTCTCTGACACCAGGTTATTCAAAACCATGTGAAGGGGATTCCTAGAATCCCTTAGCTGACCATTTCCTCACAGGTCAATTGTCAGCTAAGGGCACAATGGCTTCTCTGTTCTGCCTACAGGTTCCAGTGTTCTATATGTAGCAGACATTGGGTTTCTGCCCAAGTGAAGATCCTGTGCCACCTGTACCGGGAGCCCGGGAAACTTCAAGGCCGGGTGCTCATGAGGATCTTCGCACAGAGGTGCCAGAAGTGTACTAGGTCTAAATTTGAGAATCCTGAGTTCTCCACTGAGAGCATGCAAAGGATTCTGGAGAACCTAGTCAGTTATATTCTGCGGAAATACTACGGACATGGCTTGAAGAAGACACCATCAACCTTGAATGAGAGGGTGCCTTTGGATGGACCCCATGACACAGCCAATTGTGAGGCATGCACCCTGGGCTACCATGGAGGGTGTGCCTTTGCATATGAAGCAAAGCTGCCTAAATCCCCATCTTCCCCACCAACAATCTACAGTTCTTCTCCACTGAAGAGCCACAGCACTTCCCCACCGAAGAGCTACAGTTCTTCCCCACCAAAGAGCCACAGCACTTCCCCACCGAAGAGCTACAGTTCTTCCCCACCAAAGAGCCACAGCACTTCCCCACCAAAGAGCTACAGTTCTTCCCCACCAAAGAGCCACAGCACTTCCCCACCGAAGAGCTACAGTTCTTCCCCACCAAAGAGCCACAGCACTTCCCCACCGAAGAGCTACAGTTCTTCCCCACCAAAGAGCCACAGCCCTTCACCTCAGACTTACAATATATCTTTTGAGAATATGCATTCTCAGGAACACAGAGAGTCCCATAACCCAGGGCTGATAGCAGCATTCTCCCTTGCTGCACTTACCTTTATTCGTCTATTATTGAAATGGTAGGCTTATCATCTTGTTTTCATTCCACAGTTATCAATAAAGTGGATGTCATTACAACATATCAGTGAACTGATTTGAGATCAAACATGACCAAATGTATAGAATAAACCTGGTTTCCTGGACATGCTCTGAAAATAGCTTAAAACATGACAAACACATAATGGACTCCAAAACAAATTCATTTTAAATCACTGAACAGTTTGTATTTGCTTGCTCACTTTTTGTTATTAAGCAATTAAGAAATCTTGACAAGAACTAATAGTCATGAGTATTATTGTAAATTTAATGTGACAGACTGAATAATGCTCCCCCCACCACCATCAAAATTGCTCTTACCCCAATGTACTCACCATAACCTTTAGAACGTATGGCTATACTACATACAGTATTTGGAAGAATGGATTTTACAGGTGTGATTAATTAAAAGATCTTGAGATAAACTGTCTTGCTTTCTCAGGATGAATAATAACAAAATGTCCTTTTGTTTTGTCTTTTCAATCAAGGTCCACGAAAAGCTCAATGTTGAAGGCTTGGTCTCTGGGTGATGGAGTTATGGGAGGTGATGAAAGCTTTAGGACATGGCTTAGACAGGGTGCAATGCTAGGGCGTGTTTTTGTAAGCACTCAACTTTTCCCTTCTCTTACTTCCTGGTCACCATGAGGTGAGTACCCTTCATCTCCCTTTACTTAACTTCTGTGATGTTCGGCCTTGACACAGGATCCCAAATAACAGTCAAATAACATTGTTGACAACTGCAATAGAACTCAGCTAAATATTCCTATCTGAAGAAGCTTGCTCTCAGATATTTTGTCAGAGCAAGAGGAATCTGAGAAACACATGTCCTAGCCAGAGGGAGGCAACAGGGTCAACACCAGGAGAGATTTGAGGCAAGAATCACAGGTTGGAGCGATGTATTTCAAAAATGAAGAAAGGACTTGTCACAAAGAGCAGAGGTGACCTTCTGAAAGCTAACGCGGGTACAGAAATAGGAGCTTCCTTGGAGCCTGCCATCAAGTGGTGTAAACTTTTAATAATATTTATTTTTAATGTGTGTGTGTGTGTGTGTGTGTGTGTGTGTGTGTGTGTGTGTGTACATGTGCCATAGGGCACAGGTAGAGGTCAGAGGAGAACCCTCTGGAGCCAGCTTTCTCTGTCTGTTACATGAATTCTGAAGACTGAACCCATGTCAGACTTGGCTGCAGCCACCTTTACAATCTGAGCCCTTTCACTGTCCCAACCATTATCATGACATTAGGCTAGTGAGGATGACTTTAGAGATCTGACCTCCAGAACTATAAGGCTGTAAATCTGTACTGAGGTGCTGAGACTGTGGTCATTTGTTTAGCAGCATAGAAGTGCAGCGCCATAGAAGGAACTGGGCTTTAGATATGCCTAAACTTTCATGGAACAAAACAAAATAATTTATATGTTAGAAACATGACTTCTTCCCATTCTCTGTTGTCCCTCCGTCTTGTGAAACCTACTCAAATTGCCCCATCACTGAGAGTTTCCCTTTGATTTGATATTTCCTGGAGCTATCATGTTATTTCATGGCTTTTAGCAGTGGATTGAAAAGAATGTAAGAATTTTCCAGTCTGGGATTCCATGACATAACACCACAATTTTCACCCCATTTCCATATGTCTGTTAGATGTCTCTGTGTGGCTGCCACAATGTCTTTGCTATACTATATTTAAGACAAAAATTAATCAACAACCAGATCTTCCTGTTTATATCACCTGAGCTCACCTTCAATTTATATATTACTTTGTCATCTTTGTCATCCACTCTGTTGTTGTTGTTCCCATCTCTTTACTTCTTGTTTCCCTGTTGTCCTTGGTCCCTGCTTAGTTCAAGATTATCTATAGGCATTAAGGAGTCATTTGAAATTTGTAGACATTACTGTATGCTTCTGGGAAACAATGGCAGTTAGAATAGTACATGGCAATTGTACTTGCTTCAAGGTAGTAGAAAGCATAGAAAGGTCCCTAGAAGACAATGACTATTAAAGTAATTTTATCAGTGAAGTAGGAGAGGCCAGAAAACCATAGCCAAATCATCTGTTCCCATTTCCTCTCAGGCTATCCCCAGCAGCCTCTATTCATATTCCCCCTCTCCAAACCACCACACAAGTTTGTGTATGTTTCCATGTGCCTTGGGAGATTGACTCCATCCCACTCCCTCATCATCCTAGCAAGGCAAATGCTTTTCACCTAACCCAGTGAAGAGATCAAAGCCTTGTTCCCTGAAAACATACTCACAGAGTCTCTGTACTTTGTGGATTCCCCAAGGGACAGGTTGCTACCCACTTCGATTGGCACCTGATGATCCAGTTGCTTACTTTATCCTATCTCTGAGAATCTTAGATCTGACTGGTTCTAGCTGGACATGGTATTCTTGCTGAATTCCTTGGTAAGAACTACTCAACATTAAGGATCTCTGGTTCTGCTAGAGTCTTGAGTCATAGCCATGGGGACACAAAGTAAGCAGCTGAATTAATGATGGTAAGCAGGGCCACTCCTGTTTGTAGTCCTTGATTTCTAATAGCACATACATTTACCTATTGTAGCCACATTGTTCAACCATGATCACGATTCAGTATCCTGTGGCATTCTTTTCTCCTGCTCATCTTTTATGGCATCCTTGACAGTTGTTTATCTTATCATCAAGGGGGCTTGTCCAACCTGCACGTAAATAAAACCTCTAAGAAATTGATCTCTGGAGTTATTGTCCTGGCAGCTTCCTCACAACACCATAGTTGATAAATGTAGGATTTACCACAGTCATACCATCTCTGAAAGTCTGACTACTAGATCTAAAGTGATATTCATTTGCTATGGCTAGGAGATAGAACAGTTCACGCCTGTTGCTCAGCTTCTGGTAATTTGTTAGTAAACATTATGTTACTCAGAATATAGATAGGTACATTGCTTGGATCCTTCCTACTCCTTCACATGAGATTGTCTTGTGTTCATATTTGCATATATATTTCCATGTTATATAAGCTGTCTTGGTTAGAATTTTTTTTTTCCCGATGCAAGCTGGGGTAATCTGGGAAGGGAATAGTCAAATGAGAAAATGCCTCCTTCAGATTGCCCATAGGCAAGTCTATGGTACATTTTCTTGATCAATGATTAACAAGGATGGTCCATCCCACTGTGGGTGGTGCTACCCCTGGGCAGATGTTCCTGGGTTGTATAAGAAAGCAGGTTGAGCAAGCAATCCATGGGGAGAAAGCCAGCAACAAGCTTTCTCCATGACTTCTGCTTTACTTCCTGCCTCCAGGTTCCTGGTTGAGTTGCTGCCTGACTTTTTTCATGATAAACTATAAACTATAAGCTAAAATAAGCCCTTTCCTCTACAAGTTCCTGTGGGGCACAGAATTTTATCACAGCAATAGAAAACAAACTATGATATTCATGTTTGGCCAAGAGCCTACCTATTCCTTGATGATAGATCTCACTTGTAGGGAGTGAATGAAATCCTCCGTGAATGTGTATTGTTGACATGAGCATGTCAAGGACCCCAACACCTGTGCCCCATGGAACTAGCAAGCTTTCTCCAGGTGAGGCTCCGAGGGCTGGCAAGTGTGAATGTTATGTTGACAGTGTGCACAGAAAACACTGGCCGCCACACCTTCCCCAGGGATGAGATACCAGGAGTTAGTAATTCAGTGTGTGTGTTTTGGAGTGAGAGGGGTACAACTAAATTCCTAGCCTACGAGAATCTGCTTTTATAGGTTCATTAATCCATAGGCCCTTAGAAAGTTGTGCTGATCAAAGCACCCCAAGCAAGAAATGTAGGCTGACTTCCAGAATATCTATTTTAGCCAAGATAAAATAACTACTTTCTCTGTGATGATATGTTGTAATGTAACTAGTTTGTCACCAATTATCTGGTTTGTTTATTCAGGGAATAGTATAATGAGGGTTCATATGTTCATTGTAAACTGAGAAGTTTGCAGTAATATGCATATCCTTCATATTTAGTTGAAATTCATACAATGGGTCCAATTCATAGCCTCCATCTACACTTTTATGGATTTCCCACTCATGTATTCAAAGTACCAGTATGGAACTGAACAATAACAGAGACTTTTAATGTCAATCACTCTCTCTACTTAGATGGCTCAAGGTCCTTTCTCTGGTGGGTACCTTCTGGTAGGCATTAACATAACACATGGGTTTTTTGTTGTTGTTGCTGTTTGGTTTTGTGCCCATCTTAGCAATCCGTTCACACATCTCTTCCTCTAATCTCACTGTCTATGCTTCCTTAAAGTTTTAAGTGTTTTTGAAAAGGCTTAAATGTTAAAAGTTTGGTTCTCAGCTGAATTCCGATGTCTAACCTAAAAGTTCTACTGCCACAGGCAGGACTTTGGATTTTTTCTGATTGGAGCAATGAGAGAATGAAGAAAGGACAGACACATTGACACATGTATAGGACATCTGAGATCAGGCAGGCAGCTGGGGAACTTCACCTGTTTGATTTATACTGCTAAACGAGGAGGCAAATTTATTGTAATATGAATCATAGAATATTAAGCTTCTTTTCTTCCTTCTGTTCCCCCTCTTCTCTCTCTTTATGCATCCCTGGCCATCATGGAACTCCGTATGTGGACTGAGCAGACCTCCAATTTGTAGAGATCTGCCTGCCTCTGCCTCTGGAGTGCTAGGATTAAAGGCACGCATGACTGACCATGCAAGGCAAAATTACATTTCTCAAGCTATGTACAAATGTGATTATGATAAAAAGATAGTTCTTTTGATGAACTATATTTCATCTAGATCCCCCCTCATCACATCAGTCCTGTTAATTAGTTTATTTATTTGCATTCTGTGCTCCCCTTTCTCCTCTCAAATTTCCTTGTTCTCTTGCTTTTCTTCAACTATATTTTAAATGTGATTGCTCTTGTGGGTTTCAAAGAAAGAAAATATTTCAGTTGCTCAACAATGTAGCAACTCTAGACTACTATTACCTACACTGTAAAGATATAAGTCCATTAGTCCAGGGTGATTATTATGATGTTTAATTTTGATCACAAACTTGTTTGGATAAACAAAACAGCAGCCAAGACATCAGTGACACACACTCTTGTTACAGCTGTGATAGTGTTAAATAAGAATGGGAGACCGATTGTAAAGATGAGTAGCAGCAACTATGGGCTAGGACCTGGGACCAAGTTAAAAGGAAAATTGGAGGAAGCCAGTTGAGTGCTTACATTCTCCTCTCTCTGCTTCCTAGTTAGTGCCATGGAGTGAGCCTTTCTCACTGCCATGCTTTCAATGGAGGACTACAATCCTCTGAACTGTGGACTAATATGAACCTTTCTCTCATTAGGATGCTTTCTGTTGGGTGTTTGTTCACTGCGGTGATATATTATTTGTAATTTAGTAAAGCTTGCCTGAAGATTCAGAAAAGCAAAGTCAGCTTCAAGCTATAAAGATC